CAACATTTGTTGTTCTTTGTCTTTTCGATGCTGGCCATCCTAACTGGTGTGAGGTGATATCTTGTTGTGGTTTTAACTTGCATTTCCCTGATGATTAGTGATGTGGAGCATTTTTTCATGTGTCTGTTGGCCATCTGAATTTCTTCTTTTGAGAATTGTCTGTTATATCCTCTGCCTATTTTTTTAATCGGGTTATTTGCTTTTTGGGTGTTGAGGCGTGTAAGTTCTTTATATAATTTGGATGTTAACCCCTTGTCAGATATGTCATTTACAAATACATTCTTCCATACTGTAGGATGCCTTTTTTGTTCTGCTGATGGTGTCCTTTGCTGTACAGAAGCTTTTTAGTTTGATGTAGTCCCATTTGTTCATTTTTGCTTTTGTTTCCCTTGCCTGAGGAGATACATTTGGGAAAAAGTTGCTCATGTTTATATTTATGAGATTTTTGCCTATGTTGTCTTCTAAGAGTTTTATGGTTTCATGACTTACATTCAGGTCTTTGATCCATTTTGAGTTTACTTTTGTGTATGGGGTTAGACTATAATCCAGTTTCATTCTCTTGCATGCAGTTGTCCAGTTTTGCCAACACCAGCTGTTGAAGAGGCTCTCATTTCCCCCATTGTATGTCCATGGCTCCTTTATCATATATTAATTGACCATATATGCTTGAGTTTATATGTGGGCTCTCTGGTCTGTTCAATTGGTTTATGGGTCTGTTCTTGTGCCAGTACCAAATTGTCTTGATTACTGTGGCTTTGTAGTGGAGCTTGAAGTCAGGGAGCATAATCCCCCCCTCTTTATTCTTCTCAGGATTGCTTTGGCTATTCGGGGTCTTTTGTGGTTCTGTATGAATTTTAGAACAGTTTTCTCTAGTTCATTGAAAAATTCTGTTGGTGTTTTGATAGAGATTGCATTGAATCTGTAGATTGCTTTAGGCAGGATGGCTATTTTGACAATATTAATTCTTCCTATCCATGAGCATGGGATGTATTTCCGTTTATTGGTATATATGACCTTTATTATGTTGAGCTATTTGCCCTCTATACACGTTTTGTTTGTTGAGAGTTTTTATCATGAATGGATGTTGAATTTTTTCGAGTTCTTTTTCAGCATCTATGGGGATGATCCTGTGGTTTTTGTCCTTTTAGTTGATGTGGATGATGTTTATGGATTTTCTAATATTGTACCATCCTTGCATCCCTGGAATAAATCCTACTTGATCATGATGGATGATCTTTTTGATGTATTTTTGAATTTGGTTTGCTAATAGGGTGTTGTTTCTTTATCCATTCTGCCATTCAGTGTCTTTTGTTTGGTGCATTCAGTCCATTTACACTTAAGGTAATTATTGATATTTATGTACTTACTGCCATTTTTATTAATTGTTTTCTGTTTGTTATTGTAGTTCCTCTCTGTTCCTTTCTTCCTCTGTATACTCTTGTTACTTGAGGGTTTTCTTCAGTGTTGTGTTTTGTGTAACAGGCTTTAGGTTTTTGGTTACCATACAGTTCGTGGATAGTCTCCTGATTTGTAACAGTCTATATTAAGTTGATGATCACTATTTCAAACACAATCTAAAAGTACTTCTTTTTTCTTCTCCTCCTCCACACTGTATGTACTATATCATAATCTGCATTTTTTGTGTATCCCTTGACAGATTTTATATCTAGTTGGTTTTACTACTTTTTGAATATACTTTTTTTTCATACTTGCTTGGTAAGTAATTGGTCTGCTACCTTTACTGTGGATTTATTTTCACTGGTGAAAACTAATTAGGCTAAAGAACATTTTCATCTACAGAAGTCACTTTAACATATCTTCTAATGCTGGTTTAGTGGTGGTGAATTCCTTCAGCCTTCATTTATCTGGGAGATTTTTAATGTCTCCTTCAATTTTGAATGATAATCTTGCTGGTTTGAGGATTCTTGGTTGAGGGTCCTTTTGTTTCAGTACATTAAATATTTTATGCCACTCTCGTCTAGCCTGTGAAGTTTCTGCTGAGAAATCTGCTGATAGCCTGATGGGATATCCCTTTTAAGTAATTTTTTTTTAAAACTCTGGCTGCTTTCAGTACCCTCTCCTTATCTTTAATCTTTGTCATTGTAATTATTATATGTCTTGGTATTATCTTCCTGGGGTTCCTTTTGTTAGGGGTTCTCTGTGATTCTAGGACTTGTGTGTCTGTTTCCTTCCCTAGATTAGGGAAGTTTTCAGCAATTATTTCTTCAAAGAAACTTTCTACCCCTTTGTCTCTCTCTTCTTCTGGTACCCCTGTTATGCAAATATTGTTTTGTTTGTAGTTATCAAACTGCTCTCTTATCATCCTCTCATTTCCAGATACTCTTTTTTCCCTGTTTCTCAGCTTCATCGTGTTCATGTTCTCTAATTTCCATCTCATTGATCATCTCCTCTATTTGTAGCAATCTGTTATTCATTCCCTCAAGTGTATATTTCATTTCAGTTACTGTATTCTTCAGCTGAGTGGCTCTTTTTCAGCACTGTATCTCTTTGTTGAAGACCTCCCTGAGATCTTCAATACGTCTCCACAAATCATTGAGCATATTTATGACTGTTCCTTTGAAATCCAAGTCAAGAAGATTGGTGATCTCCGTTTCATTTAGCCCTCTTTCTGCTGTCTTATTCTTTAATTTTGTTTGAAACATATTCCTCTGCATCATTTTATCAGGGTTTCTATGTTTCTTCTTTTGAATTAGATAGATCTGCTATGCTTCCTCTTCTGGAGAGTAATGGCTTTATGAAGAAGGTGTCCTATGGTGCCCAGAAGCTAAAGACTATCCAACAGTGCTTGGTTCTCCTTTGAGGTGGAGCTCCAGTTGCTGTTGGTGGTCTGCAGGTGGGGCTGCCTCTCTGTCTGCCAGCAGTGGCCTATCTCAGTCCACTAATGGTGGCAGCTCGCCTCAGTCACTGGGATCATTTTGGGCAGGGCCACCCTCTGCCTGCTCTACAGCAGTGGCAGGGCTGCTGGGTGAACAGGATCAGTGGGCAGTTGCACGGGCACCCCTGGCAGCAGCGGTGGCAAGGTGTTATGGTACTGGGCTAGGCCACCATGAGGGGAAGGAGCACTAGGAATTGGCTCCTCTAGTGTCTCCTTAGTTAGGCTGAGACAGAGCAAAAAAAGCTGAAAAGCCTCCTTCTGCTTGTCAGACAGCAAAGTCTGACACTGGGCTGGGCAGGTGGGCAGGTGGGTGGGTGCACAGGGAATCACCTCATGGCTGAGCTGCCAGCAAGGGAGATAGAGCATTCAGGGCTCCCACAAGTGTCCGATCTGTTGGGCTGAGGGAGGGCTGGGGAAGTGTCCTCCACCTGCCCTTTCTCCTGCAGAGAGAGCTCCATCCAACCCTTGCCTCTATGACATCCCTCCCACTGCTGGCAAATCCTTCAAACTGCTGCCTCTGCATTGGGTCCAGCAGGGCCAGTAGAGTGTGCCTCTCTTCCACAAGCAGCCGGAGTCTCAGCCTCTCAGAGTGTTTCAACTCTTCTGGTGTCCAGCTCTTCTAAAAACCAGAACCCAGTGCATTGTGGATTAGTGTTCCCAGAGCAGATCTGGGCAGAAGTGTGCAGAGTTGCTGAGCGCTTCTCCTCTCTGCTCTCCATTCCTCTTTCTCCCTCCTGTGGGCTGTGATGGGGGAAGTGCTTGGGTCCCACTTGGTAGGTCTCTGCTGCTTTATGCTTCTCTCTGTGGTCTTCCCTTCTTCGCCAGGTGCAGGTGGTCTGTTCTGCAGTCTCCAGGTCATTTTTTGAGGTTGCTGGCTGTATTTGCTTTCTGGACGTATGTGTGCAAGAGGAAGGTTCCACCTTGCCTGCCTACTCCACCATCTTTATTCCACCCCCCACCCCCCCCTCCTGTTTCTTGCTGTCATGTTCTTTCTTTGCCTGTAGGCATGTGTTGTTTGTTCATTTAGGATGGATTTGTTTCTAGCTTTGCTAGTTGTCTTCTATAAGGTGGTTGGTTATATTACCCACTCTACCTTATAGAAGTCCCAATCCCATATATTTTATGTGAAGTTTTAACTCTTGAAAAGCTTTCCATCTTCAGGAAATTACTTTCCCAAGGTCCATTAGCTAGTAAGTGATAGAGAGAAAGACTTAAGTCTTTAACATCTATTCTATCTCCCTTATATTTTGGTTCTGCCTTTCTTAACTATATTTCTGTGTATATGTCTTGAAGATGCATTTTTTTGTATATGATGGCTTATTAGTTTTCTTACTGACCATTACCTCTCATCTGAAGCATTGTTACCTTGTTCCCTTAGTTCTGTTTGAGGTTATTTCACCCCAGCTTTAGCTTTTGTTGCAGTGGCCGAGATGATGCTGTGGAAAGTATGTGAGTGCTAAGGACCTTTGTCCTAAAGATGTGAGCATAATGAGAAGTAATCTTAGCAGCCCTTCTGTTTTGGATACCTTGGTCAAGTCTCTGTCCCTGGTATTTAATTTCCTTCTTAAACTAGAAGGAATACCCATAGAAATAGAAAAACAAACATTTTTTTAAAATTCTCATTAGTAATGTTGACTGCTAGGAGACTGGGAAGGATGAGGGCTGAGAAAAAACCATTCTGTTTGTCAGGCAGTTCATTGGTGATGTATCCATGTAAGTGTTTGAACCAGAAGACCTCTGGGGGCAAAGGGGATGCTATTAGTAATTACTCTAGTGCAGCAAATGTAAACTGGGAGTGTCAACAGTGTCAGCTCATTGTCTGTGACCTTCAAGAACACTAAAATCATGGCCACTGTGATGAAGACAGGAACCAGATGTCAATGAGTTAGTGACTGTGCGGTGAACGGGCGGAGGCTTGTTTGCATCAGCACTCTTTGAAAGTGTTAGGTGGTAAAAGTTAAAGGGAGTTGAAAGATATTTAGGGGATGAATAAATGGAAATACTTGTGTTTATACAGTAAACTATGAATTCCATAAAAATTTCACATTTCTTTTTCTAAAATACAAATTTGACTAACTTTAATAGAAAGTTCCTTGTCTTGTAGCCATCAAATGAAAGACCGAGATGCCCAGAACTACCACCATTTCCATCATGTTTATCTACAATACACTTCATTATATTTGTAGTGGTACAAACGGTGTTATTCATTGGTTATATCATGTATAGGTAAGTGTCTAAAATTTGACCCAACATTTTTCTACATTTTTTTAATTTGAAATACTCAGTAAAGACATCTATGTCCATAATAGAACTTTCAGTGCCTATATAATTAGGCTTACACAAAGCAAATATTACTTCTGATCTATTTCAGCTCACATGAGTGCATGTATAGATCATATGCTTATCTTAATGTATTTTATACTTTAAAAAACATTGTGTATTTTAATTTACAGCAGTCCTGTTTCTTTCTGAAGTAAATTACATAGAAGTTTTTTTCTCTCTTTTTCCTTAGGACTCAGCAAGAAGCAGCTGCCAAAAAATTCTTTTGACCACCAGTTTCATATGTGTACATCATGCGTGTATGTACAAAATGTTGTCTTTTTGAGGGAATTTAAGTGTTTAAATTGCTTTATAGTCTAAATTATTAAATTTTGTATAAAATAACTTGATTTGCAGTCAGAATAAACCTTAAAGACAACCACATGTAAATTTGTGCATAGTACATAAAATCTATTTAAATGTCAGTGAATTTCTGGCCAGTAAAATAGGGCCACTGAAAAGAATATTGATAAATAAGGGGGTAAATCATAGAAAATGGGGGCAGCCCCCAATGTGAAAGTTACCTCTGAGTCTGATGTTGGAGGTCTCTTTATTTAACTAAATGCACTTGTCTTCCTGCCCCCCAGAATGAGGTTTCTTTAAGCTCCCCATTATATTTAGTTGGAAACCAAAGTCTTTTTGTTAGAGGTCAGAATTTCCCATTCTAAGACCCAGTCCTGCAATCTAATGTAACTCCATTGAAAAGTCAAAGAATATTTTGTCTGAGAACTTTAGGATCTAGATAATAGGCTTCAGAATTTTTACTGAAGTATTTTTTTCCCCTCAGATTATCAATGATATGTTTCACTTTTAAAGGAAATTTTGGGGGAAAATTAAGAGCTGCTTTTTGCCTGAAAAAGCATTTAGGTGAATGACAACAAGCCTCATTGTTATGGGTATTTTGCCTGGTAATGCGTTCACTTCGTGACTGCTCATACTCTTCAGTATCTTCTCTTCAGCAGTGTCAGCTCATTATGCAGGTACTTTTGCATTTATAATTGTAATTTAAGGAATGCATTTATCCTGTTTTATTCAGCTCAGACTGCATGTCCTGAGGATACTTTTAAGTTCACAAAGCTTACCACTACGTTCTAGTTTACATTACTGCATACAGCCTGGTCTTTGTGGTACTGTACATACTCATCTAAATCAAGGAGGCTGCAGGAGAAAGAGTGTTAAGATTTTGGAAGGCAAAATTTGGAAAATAGAGTTAATACTTCTGATTACTTTCTTTGAACCAAGGATATTATGAAGCACTTACTGACCTTGAGGTGTCAGACCAGGAGGGCCTGTGGTAGTCTTTGTACATAGTTGTCCTACATATACAAGACACAGTCTGTAAATGACATTTTAAAATGCAGACTTCATTTTGTTTTCACAGCTGACATAGACCTTTTTGCTGGCTTCAAAACAGTCTTTCAGTAGTGACATGGTTATCTTTCATTTGTCACAGAATCCAAAATCACTGTTTTTATAAAACAGTACTATTTAATTTTTCCAAGCTTTCATAAATTTACATTTCACAAGTCATTTACAGGTTGTGCTAACTGCCTGAAATCTATATACAAAGACTCTGAAGAACTCTGCATTATAGCAATACCTATCTAGTACTGTGTACACAGACAGTCCTGGCACTGCTTTTTGTATTAGCATTTATCCTAGAACACTGAAAAAAGAACATTCTGATTACTCACTGTATTTATGGTCACTTCAGCATAGAAATGCTTCACACTAGTGTTTCTCCTTTGGAGCATTAACATTTTGAAATTCATGTTTCAGAGATATCATCACCACAGAATTAACTCTTACTTAATCTGTGAAAAAAAATTAATACCTTCAGAAGCATACTTAAGTTGTAGACTGTGAAACTCGGGAAATCCTCTTGAGATAAAAGACTGCAAAATATCCAGTATTTTAAAATCCATGGTCCCATGTGCCTAAATTTGTTCAAAGGAATATCAGATCTATGCCATATACATTTTTCAGACTGAACTTCAAGAGGAACCATTCTGATCATTCCTAATAAGTGGAGACAGCTGTTAGGAAAGAACATGGCATGACTCTGTTTTTTGCTTAGTAATCTAATTTGAAAATGATTCATTAAAGCATTTCACACAGGGTGTTTATAGTATTTGAAATTTGGTTTATTTTCCTCAAAATCATTGACTCCGAGTAACTCATTTCTAAAGAAAAATGTTTGTGGAAAAACCAATCACACTGCCAGGATTCTTTCATTTCTGTACTATTTTTTATAATTGAATTTGTTAACTTTTCTCACACCAGCAAGTATTTTAAAGGTGCCTTGGATTAAAACAAAATTGATTTAAAAATTTTAGTATGTCATTGTGCTTATAATGCCACTTGTAAAAAGAAATGAAATTATGTAATGGCTAATATACCCTATTTAGTGTACCTACTTGTGTTCCAATTGAATGTTTTATTCAGCTTGAAACTTGACTGTGAAGCTACAAACAGTAAACAAAAAGGGATATCAGTGTTTCTCAAAAGGTGGTCCATGGGCCATGTGGCTCATGGCGAGCTCATTAAGAGTACAGAGTCCAGGGCTCCATTCCAGACCACCTGAATCAAAACTAAGGGGTGGGGCTTCAGAATACCGGTTTTCAGCAAGCAACACAGGTGATCTGAGCACTAATGTTTGAGAACCACTAAGAAGGGTAGTGAAAAAAAGTTAAGTGGTGTGTTTTGTCAGTTTTAAGCTGAGCTGAGAGCATAGTGTAACATCTTCATTGTCAATGACGTCAGCAAATGTGCACTGACTTTTATACTTAAAATTTGCTTAAGTGTTTTGTTTTTTTTTTTTAACTGAAACACTTGGTTATTAGCAACTACAAACTAAGCCCAGATTGTTGCCTGTAGCTCTTGGTACTTTGCTTAATGGCTTTTAAACTTAAAAAGTCATCTTCAGATTGTGGCCAGGCCATGAAAACTTGCTCTCAAAGTCTGTCTGCTAAAGTGTTTTGCTTTTCTGATTGTGATCTTTGTGACATTTTATCTCAGACAATTGTACTTTTTGATAACTCGGGGAAAGCAAATTACTTGAACAAGGGATTGCTTGACCAGGTGCATTGCAGATACATTAATTTTTGTAAAGAACATAAGCAACAGTTGTGCATATGAAGATGTGATTGTCTCCTGTCCATTTGGTAAACAAATAATTATATTGGGGATTTTCTCATTTATAAGATCTAATGTAAAATAACCATGTGCAACTTTTTAGATCTGTCTGTTGCCTGTTTAATATATTCCTTTTAAAGTTTAAAAGGGTTTTCTATCCATTGTTAATTTCAATTGGATAGCATTTTGTCAAGTGTTTTTTCTGATTGTTATTTGATGCTAGCTGGAATTCAAGAAATGACATTGACCTTATTCAAATAAAGAAATATTTTAGTAAATTTACTTTGTCCTTCACTGATCTCAGGTAATAGGTAGGTATTTATTTTCCAAATGGGCCCTGATTTGTGATCATATTCCATTTATTGTGTGCCACATGCTCTACCTTAGGTGGCTACCCATTGTGGAATCAGCACATGGAAGCATAAAAAAGAAGTAGAAACAATAATGGATAAATGCTTACCCTTGCTGGTAATGAAATATTACAGATTAAAACAATGTATATGATGTTTTCACCTTCAATAAATTAGAAGAGTAGCTAAGCTAGAACTCAAGCATGTAATTCCAATTTGAGGGTCCACGCAGTATAAAAAGGAACACAGAGGGCTTTGGTGCAGACAGATCTAGACTGGAGTCTTGGTTCTGCCACTTCCTAAAGATGATCTCAGTTTCCTCTGCATGCTTCCATTGCAGGGCCAGTAGCACTGTAAAGAGTCTTTTAAATTGGTTTCAGAAAATGGAATGCAGAGGAGATGGACCCCCTCTTCTGCTGTAAACACACAGAAATAGTGGATAAAATCAGAGATCAGATAAATTGGATGGGTTTGAAAGAAACCAGAGGAAACCCGGATCAGGGAGCCTTCTCAGGGAAGCGTGGTGGAAACCACATGTCCTCCGTAGACACCAGTTGGAGGTTCAGTTTCATCTGGGGCACTGGGGACATGGCCTTGCAGACCTTAGTAAAGACTTGGGATTTTATTCAAGTATGGTGAGAAACTTTTGGAGGGGTTATACTTAATGGCCCCATTTCACAAATCCTAGGGTATTTTCCCTTTCTGGAGGAATGAAAGATACTACACACACAGCGAATAGTTTACTGGATGTCCAAGAGGAAAGGCCGTTGAAATAAACTGAGGAATAAAAAGTTTTAAAGACATGATCCCACTTGAAATGGAATTATCTATTGGGGAGACAAAGGCTGGATTTCACAAAACGGCACTACCAGGGAGTATTCAGTTGCCACCCTGGTGTAGCTGCCAACTCAGAGTCTCTGTGATGCCTACACCCCCATTCCCCAGTACACACCCACAGAAAAAGGCAGAGGCTGCTTTTCTAGTAGAAACAATAATGGATAAATGCTTACCCTTGCTGGTAATGAAATATTACAGATTAAAACAATGTATATGATGTTTTCACCTTCAATAAATTAGAAGAGTAGCTAAGCTAGAACTCAAGCATGTAATTCCAATTTGAGGGTCCACGCAGTATAAAAAGGAACACAGAGGGCTTTGGTGCAGACAGATCTAGACTGGAGTCTTGGTTCTGCCACTTCCTAAAGATGATCTCAGTTTCCTCTGCATGCTTCCATTGCAGGGCCAGTAGCACTGTAAAGAGTCTTTTAAATTGGTTTCAGAAAATGGAATGCAGAGGAGATGGACCCCCTCTTCTGCTGTAAACACACAGAAATAGTGGATAAAATCAGAGATCAGATAAATTGGATGGGTTTGAAAGAAACCAGAGGAAACCCGGATCAGGGAGCCTTCTCAGGGAAGCGTGGTGGAAACCACATGTCCTCCGTAGACACCAGTTGGAGGTTCAGTTTCATCTGGGGCACTGGGGACATGGCCTTGCAGACCTTAGTAAAGACTTGGGATTTTATTCAAGTATGGTGAGAAACTTTTGGAGGGGTTATACTTAATGGCCCCATTTCACAAATCCTAGGGTATTTTCCCTTTCTGGAGGAATGAAAGATACTACACACACAGCGAATAGTTTACTGGATGTCCAAGAGGAAAGGCCGTTGAAATAAACTGAGGAATAAAAAGTTTTAAAGACATGATCCCACTTGAAATGGAATTATCTATTGGGGAGACAAAGGCTGGATTTCACAAAACGGCACTACCAGGGAGTATTCAGTTGCCACCCTGGTGTAGCTGCCAACTCAGAGTCTCTGTGATGCCTACACCCCCATTCCCCAGTACACACCCACAGAAAAAGGCAGAGGCTGCTTTTCTAGACTTTAGAGTTTAGAATTGGCACTGTCCACATTAATAATATTTCCTAATCCAAATAAAATGGAATTTTGATAACAGACTGCAAAATCTAAATAACAAAGTGAATTTTAATTTTTATTTGGTTTTTGGTTGGTTGCTTAAGGGACAATAATTAATTTTGATTCAGACCCTTCAAATCTAAGTTTGCTTAGTAAATACAACTGGGTATTTCACTTTCTGACCAAAACTATTATATAGAAAAGATCCTCATCAGATTGTCCTTTTCTTTAGCAAATAAGTGTTTTTAGTATCATGAAATCTCTGCAGTCTTTTCTAAAGGAGAGTTGTGTTGAACTGAGAAAACAATAGAAACAGGCTGTGGCTTTTACTGTGCATCTGACAAGTTCTGTAAGACCTTATTCGTTAGTAACACCCCTCAGTGGAGTGAAATATAGTTGATTGTAAATGGTAATTTAGAGATAATGGTTTGAATGTATTAAGTTCAAGCAGCACATCAAAAGTGAAAGTGGAGCCAGTGTTAAGGTATGTTCTTAATCAAAGAGCACAGGTTTCACCCGAAATCGGTCAGTCCTTCAAGTCGAGACCATTCTAGCAACATTTAAAATAAGACAGTAAAAGGGAACACAGATCTCAAAATATATAAAGCAAGCATTTTAGATGAAAACCCAAATTATGTAATTCTGTGCAATATGAGGGACCTATTTCCTGAGAGGGAATGGCTATGGATAAAATAATCATAGCCTGTGTTTCTTCCCTGGGCCCCACCCCGTCTTGGAGTGCTTTAATTAGATACTAACATAGATTAAAGTCTTTGCCATACTCAGTTTCTCCCTTGACCTGAAGAAATCCATGGCCATTGAGAATCTGGTGCTTTAGAAAACACCCAGTTTTCTCCAAGTACACCAGGGAGCTTACATACAGCACCCAGGAGATGGACTGTATATGAAAGAAAAAGGCTGACCCCATTACATGTTGATGATGTAACTCACATTATTCTTACCTTCTGGACTGAAGCTTGGAAAGCATCCTTGCATCATTTACAAGCAGAAATGTAACATTTCGGTGCAGGAGAAGGTGATGTTAACCATCCTGGGGGAAACCCAGGGTCACTGACTTATCTCTGTTGGGTATTTGTGTATGGGATGCAGTAACCCCTAAAGCAGTACAAAATTCAAGCAAACTAAAGGGTACTCAGAGACCAGTGACATAAAATGATGGATCAAAAGGATTAATTTTGCTTAAGGAAGCATTTTGGGTTTTGAGTCTCATTGGACTCAGTTTTCAGCAGGATGTTTGTTGTGCTCAAGGGCTCAAATTTGGAAATTCCATTACAGGCATGTAATGTCAGTTCAGATGAACTTAATTGAAACAGGACACTTGATGAAGACCTGCTGCACTTATAATTTAAAATTTAGAAATGGGTAGTGAGAGTAGATAATGGGAAGGATTTTTGCCTCTGAAATTAGCTCAGTGTATTAATTCAGAAAAGCAGTCAGTTGCATCTGATGGTGTGCCTTAGTAATCTGAACCATCTGCTCCTCTGTACTGAGTCCGTCTCTAATCCAGCTTACCGCCACAAACCACTCTTCTCTGTCCTTGTGCCCTTGAGCGGACGAGACTGTGCAAAGACCGCTCTTAAGGGTGTTGCTGTCACCGAGGGTATTTGGAGGTTTTGTCTTTTTTTTTTCCTTAGGTTTTGTCTTGACTTTTGGGTTTATTTTTCTGGGGCAGAAACAATGGCTTTCTTTATGAAAACTATGATAAGTAACCAGGTAAAGAATTTAGGACTTGGTGGCGGGTCTGAAGAAAAAAAAGAAGAGGGAGGTGCGTCTGACCCTGCAGCAGCGCAGGGGATGACTAGGGAGGAGTACGAGGAGTATCAGAAGCAAGTGATCGAGGAGAAGTGAGTACGCCGGCCCCCCTTCCCTTTGAAAGCAAAAGGAAATCAGCCCTGCCCCGAGCTGCAGCCCCCCGTCTCTCTCTCTGCTCTCTAGATGCTGGGGCTCTTTGCCTCCGACCGTAGCAAAGGGCGTTCTGCTAAAGTGAACGGTTTCCTAGCGTTGGCAGTTACCGTGTCCTACTTGGGTGAATGGAAATGGAAAATGACAAATGAATCTGTATGTCCTGACAAAAGCAGCTTAACGCTTTCTGGTGTAGCCGAATTTCTGTTCAGATGAAAAACTGAGCCTGTCTTTACAGTCTTCCTGCACTTCACTCTCCTAGCAAGTAGAAAGCTTTTAAATTGTAAGAACCCAGACTTTGTTTCTGGAAGAAGGTCTTAACATATAGTGTAATCTTATTGATCTTCCATGTGCAGAAAAAAACCTAGAAAGCACAGCATGACAGTTATATCATAACACTTAGCTTCTCAAAGACTATGAATAAATTTGTGAACTGTTTATTATGAGAACTTCAAAGATTGCAAAGAAGTAGAATTATATAATGAATACTTATGACATAAAGTTGACAGTTAATACATTTTACCATATTTGCTTGTTGATGATTCGGATAGATGATGACAACTATTTTTAAAGTAAGTGATAGACATCATGATACTTCATCCCTAAATACCTCAGCCATGTACCCCCAAAAAACAAAGACATTCTGGCTGTACAAAAAGTAATAAAATGAAATATCAGTTTCTTTTCAGTTGGGCATTATGGAATGTATCACCAGCAGTTTTTCACTGCTGAAGACTGATCTTTGAGTATAATCGATTGTAATTTTTTGAAGTTTTAGAATTAATTTAAAAGTCTTTTAATAATCAACTAAGAATTGAAACAGCAGTCTTGAAGTTAAATGTTCATTTTTAAGAAGTACTTAATGAAAGTATTCCTTTTTGCCTCCATGGCTTTTGCTAATGATCAGTTACAGAATAGTTGCCTATGTCCTGTTGCTAAGATGACTGTAGGTGTAAGAGGAATGATGATTACAGTAATGGCCTGGAGAAAGCAGAAAGCATGAAGACCTCCATTTAATGGAAACCTTGTCTCTTGGGTTATTATTTTTTTTCTGAAAGAAAGTATGTCTTATACACTGCCTAGAATGTAGTATGTTTGGCTCTGCGGTAAATGAAAATCAGTTAAAGTAAATGCAACTGCCAAAATGATGTTTGTGCTAAGAGAATGTTCAGGCAAAAGAAACAGCATCCTCAAATATTGGCTAGTTTTGCCTGTAGCATGTAAAAAAAAAAAGGGGGGGGGGGATAATGAAACGGAGCAAAAGCACCAAATGTTCTCAGCTCAAGTGGGCTCGTAGAGAGAAAATGGCCAGAAATTTGGACTATACACCTGATGGTGTCAAAAATATCTGATATGTCCAAGCAGTAAAGCTGGTTGCAGATATGGCATCTGATTAACTAATGTCCCAGTTATCTGTAATTTTGTATCTGGGTAGATCAAGACCAAAATGTCCAAGTGGTGTGGTCAGTCAGTGGATTGGGGTATTTGCCCACAATTTGACTTTGTATGTGTGTGTATATGAATATTATAAATTATGTAAATTTAAATATTGTAAATTTAGAATATACTCATCCAAGCTAATAGTAGTAGGACAGTGAGGCCAGGCTGCTTCCCTATGTCGAGAGGCGTGACTTCTAGTCCATTGCTTGAGTTGTCAGTAGCTTCATCTCCTAGAATGCAACATAAAGAAGTAGGCACCAAAAATGGTTCATCACAAATTATACACAGAAGAGCTATTGGCAGCATGGTTTATATAATAACTAAAATGAATATTCACAAACAAGAGTCTACTAAATCCTCATCATTTTAGAAAAGTTGTGAGATTGACTTAACTAATTGTAAACTATAAACTACTTAACGTACTTTACTGAACATTCATTTTTATTTCACGTCTGTGTTTGGTTTTGTTTGCACCACTGGTAATGTTAGTGCTGAAATAGATATACACCTAAATGAAATATTTGGAAATGTCCAAATAAAACAGTTTTCTGTTTATCCCTCCATTTCTCTCAATTATATTAAACCGTCCCTTTACCTTAGTTTTTTTATGTTATATTATGGTACCATATGTAACTTGAACTTTGATTTGTATCACAGGCCTAAATATAAAAGCTCAAATTATAAAGCACTTAGAAAAAAATAACAATCTCTTTACAACTTGGAAGTAGGCAGGGATTTCTTAAACATGACTCTGGAATCAATAACCACAAAATTTTTAAATGATAAATTCGACATTATCAAAACTAAAAACTTTTGTGTGTGAAAAGATAGAATTAAGAAAACAAAGACATGTCACAGACTGAGAGAAAATATTTGCAAGACATCTGACAAAGGACTGGGGTCTAGGATATATAAAGAATTTCTACAACTCAATAAAAAAAAATTAAGCAAAGAACAAATACTTCACAAAGATATACAGATGGTCAATTAGACATGAGAAAGCTGCCCCAAATCATTAGTCATCATGGACATGAAAATTTAAAATCATACAAGGTACTAACATGCACACATGGCTCAAATTAAAAAGATACCATACCAAATGTTGGCCAGAATGTGGAACAACCGGAACTCTTGTTCTGATGGATGAGATGTTAAGTAGTACAACACTTGGGGAAAGGTCAAACAGTTGCTTATAAAACTAAACCAAATTTCCCTATAACTCAGCTATTCCATGCCTAGATATTTACCTAGGAGAAATGAATTTATGTCCACAAAAAGACTTATTTTAAATGTTCATAGCAAATTCATTCATAGTAGCCCTGAATGGGAGATAGTCCAAGTGTCCATCAACATGAGAATGAGCAAACAAATGTGGTATATTTGTATAATACAATACATTCAGTAATAAAATGCAAAGGACTATTGATAAATAATACAACCTGGACAAATCTCAAAAGTTTTTATGCTGAGTGAAAGAGACCTTATAAAAAAGAATGTGTAGTATACAGTTCTGCTCATACAAAGTTCTAGAACAGACAAGACCAATCTACGCTGGATCAAGGGTAGGGGTTGCCTCTAGGACTGGGGAGCAGGTGCTACTTGGGGATGGAGATGAGGGAACTCAGGTGACAGTAATGTTTTTTATATCTCAATAGGGGTTTGAGTTATACACAAATAGAATAGGAAAACTAGATACACAATAGATATAGGTATGTATGCATATGTGGATGTGTGTGTATATCCATACATGAGATTTACTATAAGGAATTGACTCATGTGATTACAGAGGCTAAGAAATCTCAGCATCTGCAAACTGCAGACCCAGGAAAAGTTGGTGTGATTCTGAGAATTGGAGGGCTTTCTCAGCTCCAGCAGGCAGCAGAGAGGGAGTGAATTCTCCCTTCCGTCTTTTTTGTTTTACTCAAACCCTCAGTGTGGGATGATGCCACCCACACTGGGGAGGGTAATCTGCCTTACTCAGTCCATCAGTTTAAGTGCTGCTCTCATTTGGAAACACCCAGACATACCCAGAAGTAATCTGAGCACCCAGTGACCCAGTCAAGTTGACACATAAAATTAACCATCACAGGACATTGAAGCCTGTGCATTTAATTGTAAACAAAAATCTTACCTCAAAAAAAAAAAACGAGCTATAAACAAATAGGTAACTGTAGTTAATGTTATGCATCTTGAAGTGCTTGGGGAAAGAGTACTGATGTCTACAATTTAGAAACGCATCAAAGAAAAGATGGATAATGGGATAGAGGGATAGACAGGTGATAAAACATGCAGTAAGATGGTAATTGTAGAATCTAGATGTTGAGTTTCACTAAAATGCTTTCAACTTTTGTGTATGTTTGAAAATTTTCCTATTAAAATATTGGGGGGGAAATATCCACTTCTGCCCATGCCACCGGTCACCAATCTCTTGGACAAGTCACCCTATTTCCCTCTCCAAAACTACAAACAAGCTGAACCCAACGTGCTCTCATGCCTATGCTGGGCCTGGCGTTTGAGGAGGGCAATGAGCACAGCTACTGCCTGAGCCCAGTGCCCAGTGGTCAGTAGTTCAATCGGGTTGCTTCAGATCAGCCCCTCCTGTAGTTAGCCTTCTTAGGTGATGGTTGAAGTTGCAGAACTTGAAGTCAGGAAACTGAAATGATTTAGCTACCTGAAAATGAAAACAGAAAATCTGTTTTAATGCAAATAATGCTTTATGCAAAGCTGCTTCACCAAACCCTACAGCAGAAATCCCACCTGGCCTCACATGGGCCAAACCAGAAACGCAGAGTGCTATTGGGGCTCCATGAGCCCTCTTTCTCCATCTCTTGCCATTGCTTCTATCTCCCTAAGGCTGCTTGGTTCTTCTTTATCAGCAGTCAGCTCTCTCCTCTCTCCACTGCTCAGACCACAGGGCCAGTGGAAAATGGCAGCCCATGACTTCCATGTTCACCTGCTAATAGCTGCAGCCAAGTTCAAGGCTCTCTCTCTGTCCTAATCCCAAATTCCCAGAGAGGCTGCATTTCTCATCTTGGTCCAACCCAGTATAGCCAGAGGGCAGGGCCATGTGCATAAATCTGGCCCCCAGTAAACCCTTCTGTGGGCAGCTGGCAGAGTAGGCAGTTATTGTGAGCCTTGCAGACATCTCCACGGGTGTTGGCTTCTGTCTAGATCATCGTGAGCAAGGAAGTCCATTCAAACCAGCATAATAATCATGAGTCCAGTTAGGCTGTCCCCAGAGCATTGTAGAAATCTACCCTACCTTGCCTGTGACAATAAAGGGAAAGAGGCTTCTATTACATCCCCAAATACTATGTGCTGCCAAAGAACCCCCAGTCCTAGAAGCTACAACCCTGTTTTAGCTTAAGAACAGCTCACGGAGCTTGTTAAAAATGTAGGTCCCCCTCTCCTGCACCAGGGATTCTGATGCAGTTGGTCTGGGATCAGTCCCAGGGAGCCGCGTTCTTAACAAGCACTCTCTGTGATTCTGATGCTTATGGTCCCGGGTCATACTTAGAGCAACATGATGCAGTCAAGTAGACATTAGGATTAAACATCCTGCCCTCTCTTGGGCTGATCATAAAGAGATTCCCAGAATCAAGCTCTCTTTGGGATTTAGGGGTCTGTGCTGAGTTATGATAGCAGAACGACAGAGCGGCAGGTATAGGAAAAATGCCGTTTCTCAGGTGTTCAGACAGCTGGGACTCACAGGGTGTGTTCCAGAGCCTGGCTCCTCTGAGCAGGGCTGGAATGCCCTTATCTCTCTATGTCCTTTGATCCTTTATTCTATTCTTTTACTTTTAGGATGGAAAGAGATGCTGCATTTACACAAAAAAAGGCAGAGAGGGCATGCCTCAGAGTTCATCTCAGAGAAAAGTACAGACTCCCAAAGGTGAGACATTCTTAACACAGTAAACATCCAATGGTTTTTTAAATAATAAAAAATGGAGAATGTTTGATTATCAGCAAAGGCTCATATTCATGAATGCATATATATTCACATATATATGTGTATATGAATATATAAATATATGTATATTTGTCTTAATTGAGGCATTTGATGTAGTGAAAAAGGCATTGAACTAGTTCATAAAAATCACATTCCAATCATTTAACCTCTATCAACTTCCATTTCCCCTCAACAAAGTGGAGTTAATACTATAAATGACATTGTAATGTAAATTTATGTGAAGACTATAGGACTTCTGTGCATAAATACACATGATAATAATCACAGCTGGCATTTCCTGAGCCCCTTCTAAGGGCCAGGCACTGCTCTCTCTAAGTGCGTTGCCCATGTCAGATCATTTAATCCTCACAATGTACTTGCCGCCTGATTCTGTTACAACCTCCATTCGACAGTAGGGGAAACAGAAGCAGGAAGGACCCTCCTGCCAAGGGCTGCACAGCCCAGACAGGCCGAGCCCAGGTCTGGTCCTTCTCTGTGTTGATGACGCAGTAATGACGGTCATCCCCTCGCATGCCTACCCGCCTCCGTGCCAGCTGAGAGGCCGGACACCTGCAGGCTTTGGCTGAGCAGTTGCATTGCTGGTGGGAGGAGGATGTGTGGGCGTGCTATGGCAGGGCTCGGGTGCACTGTGCCAGTGGCTCCCTGGCGGGCCCCTGCCAAGGCTGACTTCAGAAGCTACAAGGGTCAACAAGGGACAGAGGCCCCTGTCTGTGCAAGGTCCCGGCTAAAGTCATCAAAGAGTTAAACAGCCCCATCCTGTGGGAGTGTTTGGTCCCTAAGATGTCCAAGGAACTGGGTTCTGCTCTTAGTGGGGCAAGAAAACCTCACAAATTTAAACTCATTTCATTTGTAACCAATGGCTTTTGGAGAGAACGCCTTGCTTTCTTGCCTCCCTCATTCCAGCTTAATACTTTGCCCACTGTGCCCACATTTTAGAAGCGTGGAGCGCTCGCACACACTGTCCCTTCCTCTGCCGTTGCCTGGTGGATTTCCTGAAGCTCCCAGGGATGGCACTGGCCGTCTTTCCCAACGTGGCTCTGCAGATTCATGCTGCTGATGAAGCCCTGCAGCCATGAGTGCATCTGATTAAAGTGCCTCCAATTGTGTTTGAAATGAAGCAGAAATTAAACGCACACGCACAGCCAGGCACACATACACGTGACCAGCTGACCATGTCTCTTCCACAAAGGTGGGGCTTTTCAAGGATTTATTGTTCTGTTGTCCTTCTGTGGGTTTCATTTCCGGCTCAGCCACTCCGACACAGTGCAAACTCAGATGGCTTTTAAAATACCTGAGCCTCAGTTTCCTCATCTGTGAAGTGGGGCACTGATACCTACTTCATAAGGTCTTTATCTAAGATAATATAATGTACAAACCTAGCACAGCACCTGGCTAATGGAAAGCATTCAATAGCTGCTTATATTGCTATGATTATGTCTATGCACAAAAGTCTTATTCTCGATTATAACAACCAGGGGTCTTGAAGCCCTTGGGTAAGCACACTGATGTGTGTAAACAGTGCAACAACTCGAGGCCCCTACACTTCAAGAAAATCTTAATCTGTATTTTCTTTGTTAATCTTGCCCATGTCCAGATCCCCGGGTGTAAACACCTTCAGGCTTCACAGCATGGTTCTGGTGCTCTTGAGAGAAAAAAAAATTCCCAGTCTCTGAGCCAAGCTGTCCTTTGGAACAAAAGCCTTTTCAGCAGAAGCTATGGAAAGAGGAAGGAATTATAGCCATGCAATGTGCATGGTCCTACCTCTCTCCAAGAGGGACAGGCCCTGGGTGGCGGGAGTGTGCTGCTCCCCGAAGCCCCTGCGGGCAGGCCGGGACAGGGAGGAGAGGCTGATAAACTGTGAAAGTGGGGCCCGGTGTCTCAGTCATGAGTTACTGATGCCCATCCACCCCCTTTTCTATCACGGTTTCAAATGCATAATGCACAAGACCTCACCTGACTTTCTTCATGGACCCTGAAAGAGACCTTTGAGTTTATCTAAGAATCTAATGCCACTGCCACTTTATAGCATGAGGAAACTGCAGTGCTGGGGGTTGAGTAGCTTTGGAAAAATCCACAGAGCAGCAGCAGCTGGAGTGGAACTCAGGCCTCTCAGCCATGAAAAAGAGAGACTTGCTCCCAGAAGGATGTGAACACAGCTCCCTCGGGCCCCAAGGTCTCTGTTCTTTCCACCCTTAATATTTGAGGTGTCCCAAAAGTTTTAGTGCAGTTTTGAGCTCCACGTGGCTTAAACCTGAATGAGACTGTTTCGTTAACTGTTCCAATGAAGTGTCGCACAGCCCCCCGCCGGCTGCCAGGCACACGGCTTTTCCTTCTCCTCTGTTGCCTGATGGCCTGACTAGAGATTCTGTGAGTCACCGACAAAATTCTAAGTAATGTCCAGATAAATAGATGAGGATGCTGCCTGAATGCATTCAACACTTAATCCTCCATTGCAATTTACTTGCAGAGGGAATCTCCCTGGCTGCCTTGTGCAAAAATCGAGTCCGGACAATTGCTTCTAGAGTCTGCCTATGGTGTGAAAACTACTAAAAATACTCACAGTACAATTGCCTGCTTTTTGAAAAGCATGTGGAAATTCTAATCTAATGCACACTATCCATAAAATGATGGTTGGTAGAAAGTAGACCAGAAAAAACCCAGTGTTGTCTCTTCGCCCAGTTGCCTCAATGCAGTGCCTTGTGCTTGAAATCCAGCTCCACCTTTGGGCACCGTCCCTGCCTCCCGTGGGCACTGGGGTCAAATTTCCCAGGCCAAGATCAGCCTCTAGGAGATGACTTCCTGTTTGTGCAGAATGGCCACTCCTGTCCAAGCCAGACCCAGGCTTCAGCATGGAGAGTGCAGCCACGGCTGCGTGCTCCGGGGCAGGACCCCGCGTCCCTCGCGCCCCCTGGTGTCCTCAAAATACCCGGGCAAGAGCAGGCAACCACAGCGAAACGCAGCAAGCTGCCTGGGCAGAACTGGCCCTCCTCAGGGACAGTGGGTTGTAGCAGGTGGTGGTGCAGAAACAGAAACAAATGTCTAGAGGTGACTCCTTTTTTTGAAGTCCATTCTTCCCATATTAGGGACCAGATTGTGCATTTTATTCAAAAGCAGTTGCTGTGCTAGGGAGCCTAGAAAGACCTGGTGACCCGTCCTAGGCAACAGCTGTCACAAAACAAGAGGTGGCAGCTCCCAGGAAGGACCAGAGTGGAGACTGGCTGGGAGGGGAGCCTGTGAGAAGTGGGATCATCCCAGGGCATGCCGGGACAGAGAGCTGGGGAACAGGTTTCAGCTGTCTCTGCAAGAAGCAGGATGGGGAGGGGTTTTTGAAATGACTGACAGTCATTGAGGATGAGTTGAAGGAATTGGAATACCCAGCCTTGAGAGAGGACTTTGGGGAAATGATAACTTTGGAGAGAGTCATTTCTCAGGCCTTGAATGCCAGGCTTCGATTCTCACACTCCATCAAGCCAACTCATGTGCAAGGGCTTGTGCTGCTGGCTATTGTGTAAGTGTAATTCTTAGGTCTTTCTTTGAGTATGCAGAACCCTCCTCAGTGAGCCTTTAGAATGCCCCCTCTGAAAACCACAGTGGAGCTATAAGTTGTAGGTTTTTATCTCCAAGGTGCTCCAGTGAAGACCGCGGAGGTCCTGCAAGGTGAGTCAGTGCCCATGGGCATCACTGAGTTGGGGAAGCTCAAGGCCATGGCACTGGGTCCAGTGAGCTGGGGGGAAAGGAATGAGGGGCTGGGCAGTGCTACACCCTTACAGCAGCAGGGGCAGGCTGCTGCAGGCCTGGGCCGGGGAGGGGCCGGAAGGTTCGAGAAGGGGCAACAGATTTCCAAGTCATTAAATGCATATCCTTCATGGGGCTTGGCATCTTAATTACTGCACTTAATTAATTATGTATCTGATTCCTGCAATTTAAAATGGTCACCATTATATATAGTTCTAAAGTGGTTGCTATGTTAGGAAGCCTAGAAAGGCCTGGTGGCCTCTTCTAGGAGCAGCTGTCACAAAACAAGAGGTGGCAGTGCCCGGGAAGGACCAGAGTGGAGTCTGGCTGGGAGGGGAGCTTGTGAGAAGTGGGATCATCCCAAGGTATGCCAGGACAGAGAGCTGGGGAACAGGTTTCACCCATGTCTGCAACAAGCAGGATGGAGAGGGGCTTTGAAATGACTGACAGTCATTGAGGACACATGCACATAATTATATTTATCATATACATATGATAGGACCAGATTGTGCATATATATATAACAGAATATTACTCATCCATAAAAAAGAAGGAAATCCTGCCATTTGCAACATGGATGGATCTTGAGGGAATTGACAGAAAAAGACAAATACTGCATGGTCTTACAGGTGGAACTGAAAAAACCCAAATTCTAGATACAAAGAACAGATTGGTGCTTACCAGAGACAGGGATGTAGGGGATGAATTGGGTAAAGGAGGTCAAAAGGTACAGACTTCTAGTTATAAGTCCTGGGTGTGTAATGTATCAAAGACATCAGAAGGACAAATTGTGTTGTCATTAACAATTAGCAATCACCTTAGGAAAGGTGGGGTCATCTGAGGAGCAGACTCCCCACCCCTGCTCCCACCAAGCTCTCTTCCTGGGACAATGTGGGTTTCTGGACCACCATGGCTGGTGCGTTGGCTCCTTGCCCCCAGGGTCTGCATTGTATTTCTCTTCTTATTAAACTTATTTCTTATATACAGAAAAGCACATGCCATAGATGTGCATAGGTACACTCAATGCATCATCATAAACTCCTGAAAATCGAGAGACTTGCCCAAGGTCACAGTGCTTACTGTGACAAGCATGGCCCGGACCCTCCTTATTCTTCACCCAGTCCTTTTGCATGCCCCATCTTCCCCCAACCCCCTCTAAACTAAATACCCCCACCCAGGATGGCACC